AGCCGAGGTGAGGCTTATCTGTAGCACCTCTCTCGTCATCTTTCCCTGTCTAGAATCAGCCAGGCCCCAGGCTCTGCAGTTGGGCTGGGCAGGCTTGTTATGGAGTTGTTCTAGACTAACATGGGTGATTGCCCATCAGGTATGAAAGGGTAGTCAGCTGCCTGAGTGCAGGGACACTGTGGAAACAGCCTCAGACTGTTTCAGGGAACCTGAGAATCCTGGTCCTGACTCTGACACTTTGCTTCTCTGTTAAGTGATGGATGTGGGTTATCAAAGTCTGCCATCTTTGGTGATAATTTTCCTTTTTTATATCATGTTTATTTCCCTATGATGCTTCTCCACCCAGGCCATTTCCCTCCCTCCCTGTCTCCCACCTGTCACTCTCAACCCTCCAATATGAAACTCTCAGTTCTAACAAATAAAGGCAGTCAAGCAGAACAAATGAGCATTGACTGTGCCTAAAACTGTATGCCTCATTCTGCACCTGTGGTCCACCACTTCTCTCCTGAAAGGTGAGAGGCATACTTTCCACATTGGTCCTCTGGAGTCACAGTTGAACACTATTTTGACCCACGTTCTATCCTATCCACATTCAGTGTTGTTTTCTTACGTATAGTTCTCTGATTCTTCTGTCTTTGGGGATGAGGATCCCTGGAAATTACAGAGGTAGTTTAACAAAATTGGAAGAAAGAGTGCTGAAAAGATCTGGATTCAAATCCAACCTTTAACACTAGCTGTGTAACCACTCAATCAACAAATATTTATCGAGTGTTTACTATGTGCCAGGCATGGTGCTTAGTACTGGGGATACAAAAAGCAGCAAGAGACAGTCCCTGCCCTTAAGGAGCTCACAGTCTAATGGAGGAGATAAACAACAAACATATATGTACAGACAGCCTATACATAGGATAAATGGAAAATAATTAATGGAGAGAAGGCATTAGAACTGAGAGGTTGGAAAAAATTTCCTGTAAAAGATGAGTTTTAGATTACACCTCTCTGAGCTTAGGTCTCAGAGATAAATTTTTTCATCTGCAAAATAGGAATTATATAACCCAGGATACCTATGCCCAGGGTCAGATGAGTATCGAATGCAGTGTTCAGGTATAGAGAAGGGAGGGAAGGGAATAAGCATTTTATGAAGTGCCTACTATCTGCCAGCCACTATATTAAGCACATTTTACAAATATTACCTCATTTGTTCCTCACAGCAGTCTTGGGAACTAGGTGCTCTTATTATCCCCATTACTTAGTTAAAGAAACTGAGGCAAACAGAGGTTAAGTGACTTGCCCAGGGTCACACTGCTACTGAGGATCTGAGGCCAAATTTGAATTCGGGTCTTCCTGACTCCAGGCCGGGCACTCTATCCACTTGCATCCCCTAGTTGCCTCACAGATGCTCAAGTATAAGTGAGTCCCTTTGCATACTTGAGAAGTACAGTCTAAATATCAGCTCTCATTATTGTGCCCTGTGGCCTATGATGGTCCTGCCTTTAACCTCTCTCCTCTAGTGTGGCCTTCAGTGGCTCTTACTTTCTGAACTTTTCCATTTGAGGGTCAGTACCTTTACTGGGACAGCATAGAAGGGGAGCTAAGGCATGGATAAATATGATAGTGATACAAGATGGGTGCCACATAAGTGGCAAAAGGAGAGTCACTTCCAGTAAAAGAGGGATTAATGGAAGATGGGGCACAGTTAAGCCCTGAGCTGGGCAGAATTTTGATAAGTTAAGACTTAGGGAAAAGGTTATAGGCCAAAGGAAGGATTTGAGCTGATAGAGGCAGGCAAGGGCTAGTCCATTCTGGCTCGACCTCTGAATACATGTAGAGGAATTATTGGTAGGTTTGGAGGCAGCTAAGTGGCTTAGTGGATAGAGCACCAGGCCTGGAGTCAGGAAGACCTGAATTCAAATCTGGCCTCAGACACTCACTGGCTATGTGACCCTGGGCAAGTCACTTAACCTCTGTTTGCCTAATCCACTGGAGAAGGAAATGGCAAGCCATTCCAGT